CCTTCTATTGATATATTGTAGGGGTCAAAGTTTCTTAACTTCTTTATCAGCTCAGCCTGTAACATCTTTCAAAAAAGCAAGCAACCAAATTCTCTTTCTTCTATTTTTTTATACTTCAGTGCAGGAAAAGAAAGATAAAAAGTTCTTTGAAGGGATCAAATTTGCAGAGTTTAAGGCCAACAGAAATCACTAGATAACATAATCTGAAGTAATACATTGCAGGTCATTATGTGCAACCCAGTCACCCTTTAGTTGCTTCTGATAACTACTGTTTGACAGAAGCATTCTTCTGAGAAAGCACTCTGCATTATCTGGGGCATAAGGCTGCACTAAATAACTTTATGAGGTCACTTCCTGTACTATTTTCAATGTTCTGTGATTTGCAAAACCCCTACAGTTAAACAGTTTGTCATTCAGATACAGTTTCTTCCCCTGAATAGCTAATCACATTTGCTACTTCCAGGCTGAATTTGTATGACTCCAGCTTCAAGCTGTTGTTCTTATATAAAGTTTTGTTCTATATTGTTTGCAGTTTAGCAGGTCCCTTTCCCAGGAAGGTACTTTCAAATATTGAACAAGTCATCTTCATCATTTCTCTTGTTACAGTATCCAGACTGTGTAACTTACAGATATATCTAAACCACATAAGAGAGCTTATAGACCTTTATGCTACTCCTGTTGTTAACTGCAAGTCTATATGGCACTATGCAGTGCCCCACAGAGTGGGAATCTCAGATCAAAGATTAATTACATTATATGCAAGATCTGATCTCAGCTACACCGAGAATGTTCTGATGCATCCCAAAAGCCAGAGTAGAACAACAGTATAGTCTTCAGAAGCTTTCCCTGATGTTCAGCTGCTTAGAATTAAAGCCCATTTCATCTCAGCCAATTGATATACAATATTTATTCTTGGCAGATATTGGGTGTAGGTGGCAAAGTTTTGGTAGCAGGGGGCTGCAGGGGCAGCCTCTGTGAGAAGAGACCAGGAGCTGCCCTGTGCAGGACACAGAGACAGCTCAGCTGGCTCCATAATGGACACACCGCAGGACACAGCTGAGCCCATCAGAGTAGTTGGTGGCACCTCTGTGAAAATATATTTAAGAAAGGTCAAAACATCAAGAAGGGAAATGAGCAAGGAAAAAAACAGTAAGAAACAGCAGAGGGAACATCAAGGTCAGAGAACGAAAGGGAGGGGTGGTGGTCCAGCTGCCAGAACACTTATTTCCCTGCAGCATGTGGAAAGGACCACACTGGAGCAGATACCTACACTGCAGCCCATAGAGAACCTCATGCCAGAGCAGGTGGATATTTCATGAAGGAATTGTGGCCTGTGCTGGAGCATACTTTTCCTGAAGGACTGCAACCCATGGAAGGACTCACAGAGCAGGGGAAAAGCCTGAAGAGGAAGGAGCAGCAGAGAGGAACTGTTATGAAGAGACTGCAGCCACCCACTCCCCATCACACCTGCTCCATTCAGGGTGGCAGTGAAAGAAGGTAGAGGAGTCAGGAATGAAGGAGTGAAGCAGAGTCTGAGAGGAGAGGGTGGGGAAGAGGGGAGGTGATGTTTTAATTTTTACTTTTGTTTCTCACTACAAAAGTCTATTTTAATTTGCAATAAATTAAATCAACTTTCCTTAAGTCAAGTATGTTTTGCCTGCAACACTAACTGGTAAGCAGTCTCCCCGTCATTCTTTCAGCCCACTAACTTCATCATATTTTCTCCCCCTGTCCTACTGAGGAGGGGGAGTGAGAGGGCAGCTAGGTGTGCATTTGGCAGCCAGCCAAGTCTAACCCACCATGGCAGTTATGGGTTTCTCTAGATAGTAGAGGACCACAGTATACATTGTCATGCTGCTTTGAAAATAGACAGACCCGTATTACGGGTTTCTGTCACTCCAGCATTACTACTTTAAAATAGTTGGCATTGCTACCTAATGCTGCATTACTGCTTCCTAATACATTTAAGTAACTTCATTATGCTTTGTCTTTCTGCTCAAATTTTTCCCTGTTCTGTTTATCTTATCAGTTTCCTACAGTTCACCTCTCCTGGAAAGTAAACACAGTTCTTTCAGACTGGGCCTTCATGTACAGAATTCTCTATGCCAAGCGAGCTCACCCAGCAGGTCCAGCAGGATTAGTCAGTCAAACTTATTCCTCATTAGTGATTCTAATAACCCACAGTCACCTTGAATTTACTACAGTTAACTCTAAATATAGGAATATATATATTTAGCAGATAATTAGAGACAAGTCTCTATGCGTGACTTGTCTTAAAGTCCTTCAGCTCTCCATTCAAAAGTCTGAAAAGTTTCAGTGTCTGATCAAGGATATCAATACCTAACAACGATATGATTCACCTTTTCAGCTGTAATCGACTGAACTCTCATGAGCGAATGTCCTCTGAACAGCTAGCATTTCCCTTGACCTTCCACCCTGAAACTTTGGCAAGGCAAGATTTACAACTAGACTGCAGCCCTGCAGCAGGCCTTCATGAGGCAACAGCTGCTATTTTTGACTGCTTCTTGTTTGGCTAGTATTAAGCTAGCTTGTAGTGAAAGAGGAACTCGTGGTGAAGGCATATCCATATTTATATAAAATATTCATAAATTCATAAGGTATGTTTTCAATTCAGGGGAACAAGGATGCAGAGATATCTGACCTTAAGTTGTCTGAACCATTACAGATACTCAGGCAAGTTATTAAAGTATAATTCCTGTTTTTAAAGTGTAACTCCTGTTCTCTGATAGAGCAAGTAGGCTTTCCTAATTTTAATGATTTCTAACACATTGATTCATCTGCCTCCAATCCTATATTTATGGATTATTTACTTCTAAAAGTAGAACAAATAACTTCAATGTGAAGTGTCTCTTTCTAGCTATTTTAACATCTTCTGTTCCTAAACAGGTTACAGTCAGTGATGCCAACATTCTTGTCAAAAAATAACTCCATGAAATGTTAATAATACACTCACATCACGTTTCTTACTGAAAATTCTGCCTCACTTTTTACTTAGGCCATAAATATTTTTTCTTTTTTGTAGAAGTCTGTTACAAGCCTACCTCATTTCTGAGTTTCTCTAAAGACTTTCTTTCTCTTTCCAAAGAAATTCCTACAAATCCTCTACCATTTTTCTTGACCTTAAACAACCAAATATAAATCAGCACTAATAGCAATAACCCTACACATAATCAATTCACAGAGGTGTTAGTTTATTATTCACGTTACTATCACTTCCAAACCCACCTATGACATTATGATCTAATATAAAGCACCTACGAAACTCCCACCCATTCCACTGATGCCTGATGTTCTCAAACACTTCCATCAGAATATTAAAAAAGCTATTAATTACAAAGAACTTCTATTTCATTTAGTGACCCAGATTACAAGTAAGGTTACATTATTACAAACTCTGTAGAAGTCACAAGTGGAGGACTGGCTTTTCCACAAGCTTTTATTTCTATGTACTTTTTCAAATGTTGCTATATATAATGCCAAGCAGTTCAATGACAAAGTTGTATATTTTAACTTGTGTCTTGGTTTTTAGGGTTTTTTTTAAAGGTGAAGTGAAAAATAGCCATAGTGTTGACCTTTCAGAGAAATACATGATATTTTCAAGGATTACATTTTATGTTGATTTGTATTTGAAGCAATGGAAAAGAAAATGGAATCAAATCAGCCTCACAGCTCACTGAAAACATAGCATTACTTGTTGTCCCTTTTGCATATATTTACAGTAGGCATGCCATTTACTACTGAACTGTTGATTAGCCTTAAAGACCACTATGTTTATGCTGAGTTCTTGAACTTGACAATATATACTTGAAATTTTTCTTCTTTTTCACAGGTTATTTTCATGCAAATGTTGAGCTTTGTTTTCCATTTTACAATCTCTAATTCATCTTATCTGAGAAGGTATATCTTAAATAGACTTACAGGCTAAATTCTTAACTGACAGCCAAAGTCACTGCTACACCCCGCTTGTCTTCCATAGATAAACAGGGATTAGTGAAATTCCTGTAACTAGTCATAAAGCCACATAGCACAGAAAGAGCAAAACGTACTTAGTCAACAAAAAGCTGGTGACATAAGTATTTCTGCTACCAAAAATGTTAACAACCTAATGTTTTCCCAAAATTAAATCCCTCCAAGATCCTTAGATGACTTTTAGAAACATAAGATAGAGAAATAACTACATTGCACCTGCAACAGTTTCTCTCTTGGTGAGGAGGGACATTGGGGGCAGAAAGCAGCAGTCTAACACTACCATAAAATCTTTGTTATGGTCTCTTAAATTCCCAGTCGTGCTTCTTTTACAAATAAGAAACAAAAATTGAAATCTCAGATGAAAGAATTTTTACTTGCTCATGCTGCCACAATGCACTGATGTCAAAAATGTGAATCAAGTTCAAAGAAAATATTTCAACTTTAGTTGGGAAAAAAAATTGAAAAATCTAAAATTTAAGAACAGCAGATCCAAACTGAAAATTAAAGCTTTCAATACATTGGGACAAAAATATGTATTAGACACAGATGACTCCTATAATGATCTCAAGACACACATTTTGCTCTCTAAGCTCTCTTGAGCTAAACTGCAAGTGTCCCACTGATAAATGACTCTGGATTTTTTCCAGGTTAAGGAGAAAAAGCCTGATCTTCATACTGACTAATTTTGCCTTGTTTGTAGTTGAACATATTTCTAGTGCTCCACCGCTATTAAATTAATAAACTTATATTTCCATACTGTTAGACTCATTAATAACACACACAAAAAAATAATTACTTACATAGGGGGAATGGTGACAGTGTTTCCTTTAGGTAATGAGAAATCATCAGCATCTCTTCCTACAAGAGTAGCAGTGTACACCAAAGTTTTAACGCTTGGGTTTTTCAGACGCACCTATCACAACAACAACAACAGCAGTCTATTTTTATTGAATTTTTAGAGCACAAAACGCATGTTCTGCAGCTAAGTTCCAAAATACAGACTAAGGATATCACAAAATAAGAAAGTACTTCAAATAACTAGGCAGACTATTTTTCTTCCTAAAGAGCATAGACTTTCCACAGACTGTACAATCTCAGTTCTTCTGAGTACTCTTTTTGCTGTCTACATTGCACTCCTATGCCTGTTAACCTCTTATTCCTCTCTATCCTTGATCTCAGATTTATCTGATTTTCAGATTTTTTTCTGTGCTCACAAGCATGGGGAAAAAACAGCAGCAGAAGTCAGGAACACAAGCCTAAATAGAAAAAAAAGAAGATACATTCTTCCATCTTATTTATTCAGTAGCCAAGCGACATGAAACCCATTAACTAATTCTTGTAGTATATACATGATTTAAACACATATACACATAAAATGTTGTAACCTTGCACTGCTACAAATCTAAATTCAGTGGTATCAGTACCTGTTTAACAATGGTTGCATGGAGAGCACCTGTAAATTCTATAGTCTTATTGGGTAAGTAGTGAGGGAGACTTTCATACAGGTAGACACACAGAATAAGCATCATGACTGGGTTTGGATCACAGATATCAGTGGCCTAATATGGAAAACAAAAAAGAAACAATAACCAGATATTCAGTTAAACTTATATCTGTACAGTTTAGAGACATGAAGATGAAGAACAAAAAAGTTTGAAGTAATTCTTACTCTACAAATATTTACAACCTAAATTTTAATAACTGGATTAGTCGAATAGCTAAAATGAATATGAATGTTGTCAGTGCACAAAAAAACTAACTGGATGAGCTGAAAGTAACTACATGTAACTTCATCTCATCCCTCTAGAATCAAGCTTCCTTCTTCACATGGTTTCATTATATGATGAATTTGCAGCTGTAAACCACTCAAAGAACAGACTAGAGTACAGTTTTAATTATTTTAATATTGACCTGCACCCTCACTTAGAAGCATCATATATACATAAAGCAAACATCTTTTAGATCTGCAAGGTCATGTGAGAGCAAGAAAATAGTCATGAGATACTTTTAAATCCCCAAACTTTATGTTATGAAACAGCTATACTACTTTTTTTTTTTCAATTTACTAGGAACTTGACAACCTCTAGGAGACACTTCATGTTCAAGTACATTGACAATAAGGAAAAAGAGCCCTCTTTAGTCAGCAGCTATTGAAAGTTTCACACCCTTTTCTAAGCACATGAACAAGTTTAATATAATACTATAAGTATGGACAGGCATACTTAGGATATCAAAGACTACATTATTTTTGCACAGTCCTAAGAAACAAACAAAAGAAGGCAAAATAAAGAAAAAATGTAGCTTAAACAGCATGCCTTTTTTGTTTATCCAGAAAAGGAATGAAGAACACCATATAATCAGTTTTATTTAGAACATCAGTTTTATTTACACTGGTATTATTTACAATACCAGTTTTATTTAGAAACAAGTATGATCTAGGGAACCTGAATCTCTCAGAAATGCATACGTGGCAGGCATATCTGTGGAAAAAGTTCTAGAAAAAACGTCTATAGCTTGTAGGCGAAAAGGGAAATCAAGAGTTGCATGAAATTAACAGTATGTTCTCAATGTTCACCACCATCCATCCTCCAGAAACTACTGCAAGTAACAAAACCTCCCACTCACAATTTTAGCCCACATGGTGTGTCAGAAAATCACAGCCGAGTTGATAACAGCACACAGATCTCTCCAGATGAACAACAGTCATACCAGTGACCCGCACAAGTATAACTTCCATATGTACAAAAATCACAGCATCACAGAATGGTTGGGGTTGGAAGGGAACTCTGGAGATCATCTAGCCCAACCCCCCTGCTAAAGCAGGTTCACCTAGAGCAGGCTGCACAGGACTGCATCCAGGGGGGTTTTGAATATCTCCGGAGAAGGAGACTCCACAGTGCTTCTTCACCCTGCTAAAGCAGGTTCACCTAGAGCAGGCTGCACAGGACTGCATCCAGGGGGGTTTTGAATATCTCCGGAGAAAGAGAATCCACAGTGCTTCTTCACCCTCAAAGTAAAGAAGTTCTTCCTTGTGTTCAGATGGAACTTCCTGTGCTTCAGTTTGTGCCCGTTGCCCCTTGTCCTGTCGCTGGACACCACTGAAAAGAGTCTGGCCCCATCATCTTGACATCCACCCTTAAGTTATTTATGGGCATTTATAAGGTTCCCCTCAGTTTTTTCTCCAGGCTAAACAAGCTCAGATACCTCAGCCTTTCCGCATGAGAGAGATGCTCCACTCCCCTAATCACCTTCATGGCCCTCTGCTGGACTTCCTCCAGTAGTTCCTCATCTGAGGAATATCTCTCTCGCATAAGCAGAGCAACGAGCCTGGTGAAGGGTCTAGAGAACAAGTCTTATGGGGAGCGTCTAAGGGAGCTGGGGCTGTTTAGTCTGAAGAGGAGGCTGAGGGGAGACCATATCGCTCTCTACAACTACCTGAAAGGCAGCTGTAGTGGGGCAGGTGTTTGTCTCTTCTCCCAAGTAACTAGTGATAGGACGAGAGGAAATGGCCCCAAGTTGCATCAGGGGAAGTTTAGATTGAGTATTAGGAAAAATTTATTTACTGAAAGAGTTGTAAAGCATTGGAACAGGATGCCCAGGGAAGTGGTTGAGTCACCATCCTTAGAGGCATTCAAAAAACATGTAGATTTGGCATTTTGGGACATGGTTTAGTAGGCATTGTGGTGTTGGGTTGACAGTTGGGCTTGATGACCTTAGAGGTCTTCTCGGACCTTAATGATTCTATGATTGAGAATACAAATATATTTGCTAATTCAAGACTAGTAATCTATTTGTAAATACAGTGTACAACTTCCTTCAAAATAAAAAAGCTTTACTGCACGTAGGTACTTCACTCAAGCAGAGCTTTATGAGGAAGGTCTTGTAACAACCTCAGAATCAGCAAGCTTGCAACATATTAGACACACACAAAAGACCGGCTGTGGAAGAGTGTATGGTGATACTGTGAGATCCCTCCTAAGACTACAGCAACTCTAACTGAAGTTGGCTAGATGACTCCAGCTGTGGGAGTATGGAAAGAGTACCTTGGTTATGTTTTCTGGGTAAGTTAAGAAAGCAATAAAAATGGTGACATTTTGGAGGAGCTCAGATTAATAAAAAAAAATACTGTCCATCTAATAAAGTGCAACATTAATTAAATATGTTGAATAAGGAGACCAGGTTTTTGTTACAACCACTTTTGTGGAATATTTTTTAAACCTTGCTCTTTTTATAAAAAAAAAAAAATCATCACTCTAGATAACAATTACCCATGAACAAGTTGTGTTATTCCCACTGTACCGTTTTAGGACCAAAACCTGTTAATAGCGAACTATGAGGATGAAGTTGTATCAACTTACTTCTCTTTTGATATTTTGTCAGTCAAGACTCATTTTAACACTTATTGTCAATACTATTAAAATTTTCAGGGATCTCTGAGAATAACAAATATACCTATACATCAGTATTTCTTCTCTGAAGTACATTATACCACTTTTCCTCAGGACCACACTTTCAGTTCCCACATTATTTTATTTTTATGACCAACTATATTCTCATCCTCAACATGACTGTAAGACGTTTATTGCCTAAATGAAGCATTAGAGGAAAAACGCTCTTTAAATCCTTTTTTAATTGATTTTTATGAGGCAATTTTCATCATGAACCATCTATTCTAGAACCTCAATGCTCTCCAGCAGATTAATCAAGTGAAAGCAGCAGGATGAAGGAAACAGAGCAGATATTTAGTCCCACTCTCTGAGATGAGTCTATGTAGCAGTATTATTTACATTAATATTTCACCTTAGTACATATCTGCTTCTAGATGAGCCAATCCATTATTTTACTGGATGGGAAAAATGCTACACTTTTAGACTATAACAAGAAAACCTAGTAATTTTTTTTAATCTAATAAAATTCTTGTACAGATTATATTTTCATCTTCAGTATTAAGGAGAGAAAAATTAAGAAAATTCAGATTATTGAAACACATGAAAAAATGTTACTTAATTAAGAGTGTTCCCATATGTCGTAAAATATGCTCAACTATAGATATGCGATTTAATGTTATGGGTTTTTTTTCTCTTCTATTCATATTTCTCCAAGGCTATAAAAAAATAGTTTTGGATAATTACTCAAAAAACTTTTTTCTTTTGTCATTTCTGAGAACAGAAAATTCTAGCAATAAACAACAACAACAAAATAAGATCAGTGGGAGATAATTGAAATAAAACAGTCAACTCAGTAAAGCACCTCCATGGGAGGAACTAGTCCTATGTGGATTCCCACTAGGAACCCCGAAATCAAAGTAAAAATTTCCTTCTCATTATCAGAAACTTTGGATAACTGCAATTACTCTGCTTACCAAATATTAATGAAGACAGTTTGGGAAAATACATCACATTTATTAGCCATATTGGCTGAAAAAAGGAGAAAATTTGTTTTGTCTCCTCTAGACTGTATTTCTTCCAGCAAGAGAGATGTATAGACATATCTAATATCAATTATCTGAGTTAATTTTTATTTCCAAGTTACTTAAAGTTTTAGACTACAGCATATATTCCAGCACTTCTACAAACAAGCCAATTCAGCTTCCTAATTACTAAAAGTACAAGATGCAATACAAAACTGTAAAAAAGTAAATATATATTCTAAATAGAACACAACTGTGAGTCTATCTTCAAATTCTGCAGGAAAGCCTTTGTTCCTCTAGTTAGTTGCTCCTGTAGGTATGACAAAAAGCAGTTCCGGGAATGTCCCTTGTCAGAATACAAAAGCAGCTGTAACAACATTGAAAAAGGATCAGCAAGATCTTAATGTGTATGGACCTCCTTGGAGTACCAGAAACTGGGTATCCCATTATTCGGCCTCTGACAACAGAGCAGTTGCTTGAGTAAAGAGTGTAAGAAATTACAAATGGGCAAATACAAAGTGGTCTTCACATTGACGTAATTTGCCAGCTTCTGCAAATTAGCGGCTTCAGGATTTATGCGTTAGTGTTAGACACCTCTCCGTCATTATTTTAAATTCTTCTCTATTTCATTCTTTACATACAGAAATAAGGCTGACTGTCATTAACAACTCATGAATTCTTTTTAATTAGAAATTGCTCATTGAGATTCCTTCCTCTTTTGATGTTACTGAAATGCATTATTGGCTGAAATCTATTACCTAAAACATAGGACCATAAAAAAGTAGCTCATATTTAAGCCCTGAGGCAGCAGATGTAAGAAAGCCAAATGATGCATTCCTCCAAGCACAAGTACAATTAGCTCCACCCCCAAACAGCTTCTACTTGATGACTGATGGATCAACAACTGACAAAGGTTTTCTTCAGCTAGCAAAAGCTGCATTTTGACATAATAATTTTGTGAGGAGAAAGGGTATAAATGGAAAACATTTTGAGTTCTAGCGGAGCCACCTTCTTTGCACACAACATAAAAAAACTCTGTAGCTTAAAGCAAACATTCCACTTAGAAAAACCTTTATATGAAATAAGAACCTAAGAGCAGGCTATTGGTTCAGACTACGGGCAAAAGGACACCGCTACAAGCTGATGCCT